TTATTGTTGTTTTTAAGCGTTTATTAGCAAGTGGGAACGACCAACATGGCCGCCATCTATTCAAATGGGGGTAACCGCTGGAATATTGTTGGCTTCAATTTTACTAAAAGAGATGCACTATCTAGTGTATATAAGATATCTATGCATTTGCTATACTAGATACTGTGTTTCTTATGTTGGAGGGCAGAAAAAACAAACTTGATCTACGCGGTAAGTTTTGAAAAAATAGAAGATGCGTAGCCAGGTTGAAACATTATTTATTGAGCGTTCTCTGACTTAATATTTATTTCTACGAGCTTTCGGCTATCAGTCTATAGCCTTCGACGGGTGTATACCTGCAAAGATTCCACACAAAAACATCATTGCGGAAGTTGAAACAGCGATCAAAGATCTACCAGACGAAACTAAAGACATTATACGGACAAATACAGCTTCCATCTTAGACCGAGCACGCATCCCTCCGCACAAAAACATAAACATCAACGAAAGAAAAGCGCTGAAAGATTTGAAACAGGACACGACAAGAATTATCATGAAAGCAGACAAAGGTAACAGTTTAGTTATCATGGATCGAGACGAATATGACAAGAAGATGGAAAATCTATTGAAAGACGAAGCGACCTACGTTGTGATACCTAAGCCTCCATTCAAACGAGTAGAACGAGAACTAAATGCCTACTTAACCTGAAGAATCAAGAGAAAATTCCAGAGAATACTTACCGTAAGCTACATTCAAGTGACGCAATCCCTCCAGCCATCAGAGGCTCCATCAAGCATCACAAAGTAGGTTACCCACTTAGACCTGTAGTTACCTGTATTCACTGTAAATTAAAAAGGGCCAAATCGACCCCAAATTCCGTTTCAGCCCTTTTGGGGCCAAAGCTGTTTTGGCCCTATGTGAAAGCCATTTTGGCATTGGAGAGCTGGATCTGCACCGACGGAGCCATTTTAGGTATGGAGGAAAGTCAAATTGGCCCTACCCTTTGCCGTAACGGACCCATCATTTTCCAATTTAGCCCCACCAATTGCCAATATGGCCCCACAGACCAAAACGACTCTCACGTCCGGGTTTGTTTTGGCCCCACATAAAGGGGCCGCTTTTGACCAACACTTTGGCCCCTATGAGCTTCGTTTCGGCTCTCCATCGCGGAACGACTCTCGCATAGGTCAAATCGACCCTGGAATGAAATCGACCCTTTTGTCGAAACGACCCTTCTGTCAAATCGACTCTTAATTGTGTCAAATCGACTCTTAAATGTGTCAAATCAACCCTTCTGTCAAATCGACTCGTAAATATGTCAATTCGACTCTTCTGTCAAATCGACTCTTAATTGTGTCAAATCGACAATTAATATTGTGTCAAATCGACCCTTCCGTCAAATCGACAGTCTTAATTCTGTTAAATCGACCCTTCTGTCAAATCGACTCTTAATTGTGTCGATCGTCCGTCGTATGATCGTATCAAATTAACTTGCGCATAAAACTTAAGGTGGCTCGATATAGTTATCACTAAAACCATGCTCATGCAAGAATCGCGAACTCAAAACAGGGCGACCAATTTTACGCGCAGGTTGCGGAAACTGATTAACAAAATGAAAGAACTTCCAAAATGACCTGGCGTGAGCGGTTGCTCGCGCCATATCACGCCATTGCGCGTGTTCTATAGCGTTTTATGTCAATTGCTGACGTCATTAGAATTTTCCATTTTAGAAAACCAATGCGCTATATCTCTTTATTTTATCTGGTGACCTATGTTCAAATTTTGCATGCTGTATTGTACCGCTAAAAACTTTCATTATACAAAAAATATAAAAATTCTGTAATGCCAAAAAAAATTTACCGAAGAATATGACATTTTCGCATTTTCCAAAAAAATGGCATTACAGAATTTTTTTGTATTTTGTTAATTGTTAGCTTTTCGTCCAAGTAAAATAATGCACGAAAAAAACTTGGGGGTCACCATGCTTTTTTTCCAACTATACGAGAAGATAGGCCATTTTGGAGTGAATTTCGTACACGTATGTCGTCATAGCAACGAACTCTCTGTTACTAAAACTAATATAATTTGAAAGTAGAGTTATCAAAATATATAAAAAACCCAATATCTGCTGAATAAATCCTAAAAATGCGTAGTTTGAACAGGTCAAAGTGTTAAACACCTGAATTTTTGAAATCTGTATCGAGCCACCTTAAAGAATGCACATGCTCGCAGTCGCAAAGAAAAACAAGTCTCCGTTTTTTGGATTATACAAGGTGAGATTTGATGTTTCATTTTGTAGGGTATTGAAATTTGTTTTCCAGATTTTTAGTAATTTTATCGTAAATATAAATACGGTATTTGTAAAAATTAATCACAAGAATTGAAGGCCTAGGTGTAATATTAATGATCGCGGGAACTGGGAACGAGAATGCACGCGCCCGTAAGCAA